TAGCAATGGATCTATACATTTGAATCAGTACGTATAAGTCTTTAAGTTCACTCTCAAACTAGGGGCCGTACTGATGGGACTAAAGATGAGTAAAGAGATGGTTTTTCTCTCTCTATAGATATATTTGATGAAATATTAAATCTTTTTTAGAAGTGTTATATTTCATATTTTATATATTTGTTTGTTAAAATTGCACCTCTATAAATAGTTTGATCAAGTTGTTTGCTGCCATTGGATAAGATTTGACTAGTACATTACATATTTTGCATGTGATTATGACGATGGTGATTGTGATTGTTGCTACGACTGAATTTAGAACATACAACATACTACTGTTTAGTGATCGATATAGATCGAAAACAAAATCCTCATAGATCTATAGCTATTTGCTACATATGGCCTACTACGTATGTTCTTCGTATTTGGACCTAAAATAGTTATCTGAAGTGTATTTAGTGACTGGCATATTAAATATGTCAAAAGAGAAGAGAAACCGAAAAGGAAATATCTTCAAACGAATAAAAATATTTGGTATAGTTTCCTCGCGTGAATGACTGATGAAATTTTTTTCGCTAACATGTATAATAAGAGTTTGAATTCTGGTTGTGGATCCATGTCTTGTTATTGTATACTATATAGAGAATAACAACGACGATTGATGCTACCCACGCGATTTTATCAATAAAAACATAGTATATCAAAATAGAAATCTAATTGTTTGTATATTATTGTCGCCGTTGCCACCAAATTCTGAAGATCGTTTGGGTGAGTTAGATATAGATTAAAAAAAAAAACATTACCATATATAATATCAATTAATTAACAACATACAAGATATTTATTAAAAAAAAAAGATCTTTATTAAAAGAAAAAATACAAGGTCCACAGTGGTATATAGATAAGTAGAAAGTTAGTACTAGTAACCATGAATAGCCATGATACAAATCTTTATGATACAATTTTTAATTGAGGTATTTCCATCATACTTACATTACATATTTACATGTAGTCATAGAGATTTTTTTTTGTTTTGTTTTGTTTGACATACTAACACGTAGAATGATCAATTTTGAAACCAAATATATTCATATGATATGTTATCCATCCATTAATGGTATATAACGGTAATTGAGTAAACACATGATAACGAGAACATTGAATTGTTGATGAAATCTCGGATCAGAAATGA